AGGAGGAGAAGAAGGAGAAGGAGAAGAAGAAGGAGAAAGAGAAGAAGAAGAAGAGGAAGAAGAAGAGGAAGAAGAGGAGGAGGAGGAGGTTGGATTTATACCCCGCCCTTCACTACCCAAAGGAGTCTCAGAGCGGCTGACAAACTCCTTTCCCTTCCCCTCCCCACCACAGACACCCATAGGGCTTTCAAGGCAAGAGACTAACTGAGGTGGCTGGCCATCACCTGCCTCTGCATAGCAACTCTGTACTTCCTCGGCGGTCTCCCATCCCAGTAATGACCAGGGCCGACCCTGCTTAGCTTTCACAAACTGACGAGACTGGACTAGCCTGGGCCATCCCAGTCAGGACATCTTTACCATTCCTATTGGTCTGGTGTCGTGGTTAAGTGCGCAGACTATAATCTGGGAGAACCAGGCTTGATTCCCCACTTCTCCACATGCAGCTGCTGGATGACCTTGGGCAAGCCATAGTTCTCTCAGAGCTGTTCTCTCAAGGACAGTTCTGTCAAGAGCTCTCTCAGCCCCGCCTACCTCACAGGGTGTCTGTTGTGGGGAAGGGAAGGGAAGGGAAAGGAGTTTGTGAGCTGCTCTGAGACTCCAAGTGAAGGGTGGGGTATAAATCCAATCTCCTCCTCCTCCTCCTCCTCCTCTTATTGATGAGCCCTGACTACTGTTTACTTTGAACAATCACCCCTCTCTAGAACCCCTTTTGGCTGTCAGAATCCTTCCTTTATTGCCGTGCCGTTGTTCGGAAGTGCACACAGAGGCACTCACTAGCATTGTCAGAGGCAGGGTTATACCATTGTCGCCTTTCCCAGAGACAGGGAGACGGCGCCTCCCTGCAGCACAATTTCAGTCCAAATGGATTCCCCGGCCGGCGCTGGAGCAACCTCTGAGGCTTTGGATGCGCTCCCCTTAGCGATGCTTCAGCCTCCCCAATGATCTGTCCATGGTCCTGACACCAACCTCTGCCACTGTCAGAAGAAACCAGGCTGAGTCCAATGGATGTATGAGTTGAATTCCATATCAGGCAACTCTGTGATACAGACCAGTGTTCTGTCTAAGATGAGTGAGTGTGAGCTAGCTCAGTTTTTTAAGCCTCCAGCTCACACATTTTTGTCTCCGCTCAGGAAGGACGGCTCCAGAGCAAACTAATGT